GAGAAAGTTGTAGGCCTGAAATGCATGTATGTGGTGTCTGAGCATCTGGCAAAGGTTAAGTATCATAAAACCCATCCGCGAAACTGGATCTATACTTCTCAAATCGATTTGTCGTGCGTTTTACGAAATACTGTAGTAGCCAATATTCAGTGCAGTTAACATCAGACTAATCCCTGATGATTGTCACATGCATTATTTATCCTCTTTAAAGATGGAAATATTTATGACTTCATTCTGGAGTAATGGAGCAGTTTCAGGCTGCTATACCTCAAGCAATCTATTCAGTCCCCTTTCTGCAGTCCTGAACCTGCCGTTGTTTACAATCTATTTTACGAATCATCTCACTGATACCAGACTTACTGATGTCGTTGGTGTTAAGAAACTGGAAGTTTCGACTATTGTCAGATGCAGATAGTGCTTCTAACTATCAAGCCTTAAAATTCATTACGTGTATGCTGTATGATCTTCCTTATGATAGACGTATATCATATGCTCATGAGCATCAATGAATCGCTAGAAACGCACAGATGTCTGAAGTTTATTAGCGAGACATTCCTAGAAGCTGCAGTTAGCTTTACTCACTATTTTCATTGCGTCTAGTAGGTCCAGGCATTTATCACCTACGCTCTCTGGAGGTGCGAGTTGAGCTCGACTTGATACTTAGTTGTAGTACTAAGTGCGAACATTTTGCATATGCTAAAACTTAGGACGAAGATATTGATAACCATCAAACTGGTGATGCCGAAAAAGCGTCAGTTTTTAATATATTCTCATCAACGGTAGCTGATTCCAGTATCGTTCCTCATCCCACTGATAAAATCCAGTCAGCTAGATATCTCAACTCACTGGTTAGAGGCAAAACTAATCCAGACCATTTATCTTATTTAAAAGATAAATTATATCGGATATTAGTGATTGACTACTTCAGTTCACGGACTGTCATCTTAGTAACAGAATATTCTAGTTGGTCCTTACAGCCGATATATTTCACAGACTAATAAATAAATGAATATGTGACCCTTCGAGTAAATCCGTTTTCTAAATCAAAATATTCGTTTTGTTTGTGCTTTCGTGTCTATTCCTTTGTTTTCACAAGTTTTTATTGTTCTATTTCCTAACACTTTGTAGATGAGCGTGATGCAATACAAAAGAAGGCCTTCACAAACTGGGTTAATCAACATTTAGTAAAGGTAGCCATTATTGCATTTACTTGTGTAACAACCTTATTTTGGCTTACTGCCACTTTAAATCCGCTAAAAATTTTAAAGTATTGCATTATTTCCGGGATAATTTTATGCTCGATATTAGTTACTTTTCACTTTGAGAACAACTTTACTGCTGTAGTAATGATGACGCTATTCAGTAATATTGTGATATATATATATATATATATATATATATATATATATATATATATATATATATATATATATATATATATATATATATATATATAGTTTTCTTGTGACGTTTAAATGAGCAGACTGTTTCATACAGTGTTATGAGATTTGCTTGTTATCATTAAAATAGCATTTTACGTTCAATAACACAGGCTCCATCACTATATATCAACTGGAGAGCCCAGAGCCAATGTAGTTGCTCCTTCTGTAGGATAGGAGTAGTCTAACATCTCAGTTAAATATAGGTTAAAATATCAATAGATTTTAACTTAGTCGTTTTTTAAATTTGATGTTTAAAATTAGTAAGTCAATACCAACCGTGTTCCCTTGCCTCATATAATTTTCCACAAGTTTTCATAGTGTTTACAGTCCATAAAGTTGTAGTTTACTATTTCTGCTTGTTTTCGTTTTCTCGGACTTAGAGTATCACATTGTGTATTTGACTTCACTCATGCAAAGAAGCCCCGTCATTATCAGTTGGCAAGATACAAATGTATTATATGAAACGGTCATAACTCTTAAACTAAGTATCCAGTTTTGAACATCCAGTATTGATCTTGCGGTCAATATTACAAATATTTGTCATATATATGTGCAGACACCTTGTGTGCGTTGAAGTGCCACATTAAAACACGTTAGTTGACAAGTGTGTAATTTACGTTTTTATGTATGCGTGAGTGCGTGTACAACCATTTTCCTTGATAATCACAAGAATTTTCTGTATTTGCTTGTTACTTTCTTTGAAACATTATAAACCTAGTTTTAATTGACTAATGAGTAGTGAATGTACATGTAACGCATTTGCTTATGTAGTTACACTACATGTGACTGCATACTTGTGTTTATCGATCGGAAATCAGGATGAATCAAATTTTTTTATCAAACGTTACACAAACATTTTTTTGGAAATATTCACGTGAGAAGAGTAAATGACGTCTTCATCACCGTAATTAATTATTTTCTAGTTGCTACGTCCTTCCTTTGCGTTTGTTTAGTCTCTTGCATCACTTTTATACGACTTCTGTCGTACGATTGCACAATGTGTTCCAGATGCCAACCCTTAAAATACAACTAGTACACGGAATTTAAATCTTAAACATCTAAGCTGTAACTCGGTTTTCTAAGTACGCGAGTTGAGTTACTCTAAAAGCCAATCAGATTTCTATATTTTGAATGGAAAGGCAGATTTTCCAAAAATAAAGGTCTATTCGGTTTTTCAGTTATTGTTAGGTTGGCCTTTAGAATCACTCCAAAAAGTTCACATCTCACGTCGTATGATCTTTTATTGCAAGTACCTGTTTACCATAATATAGAGATACGTAGAACAACCTTGTTGTTGGCTACGCATTGGGGATAAAAGTAATAGAAAAAGTTTAATCTCGAACAGGATGGACGAATTCTCACCTGATAGATATATAGAAAGTGGATAAAGATACATAATGAAAGGTAAATTAGCCCTTATAGGACCCACTTGCGGTTATCCACTTAGCCTGAACAAAACAGTGAACCTGTGAAATTCAGCCTTCAGGTTAGTGGGAATTCGATGGTTAATTCTCGTGGTGTTGCACGTGAAGATATCTTCACTAAGTGCTAAGGTAAAAAGTGCACTACATTGGATCTTAGCTAACAGTCATCTGTGGGCTGTCTGACTGAACGGCACAGTAAGGACTAAACAGAATACCCAAACTGACCTTTGTCTTTTGCAATCTGTGCTTATGCACGTGTTGACTGCGGCTCGGATGAAGTGAAGGATGGGTTCTGCTGAAAGCTGAACAGTAAGATATATTTTTCGATACAGGTGATTTCAATACACAAGTGGGTAGGCTAAGTCAATCAGAAAGGCACTTAGGTGTCACTTTCGGAATTCCAGTCGAACGAAAAGATAACGGTGATCGCCTGGCACTCATTTCTGACCAACACGAACTTCCGATGCGATGCGCACCGACCCAAACTTAGGTCATATTTCTATCATTTATCTCTGGAGAAGGTCGGTGAAAGATTTCCGCTCCTTCCGGAGCACGTGTTTGGACAGCGACCTCACGTTTGTTTGAGCACATGTATGTATGCGGATGCATGTGGACGTATGAAAGCTATTGCATCAAGACCATTGCAGGTGCAGCTCCATAATATAACCATTAAGAATGCCTGATAGTTTTCGAAACCTAAAGCCGTCTCCAGTCTGCTATAAAAATAGCGTTAAAGACCAAAGTCGACTCTCAGAAATCGGTTAGAAAAGGCTGGTGTTTCTCAGCATTTTCTTCTGAATGTATATATAAACGCGGATGCATTTCTGTGGGTTTTGCGCAAAAGGAGGAACGGAAGCCACTCTCATGTAGGTTTAGAAAAAGTCTCCGCAATGACTGTAAGGTGTGTTAGTAGTGAAGGCTAAAGAGACGGAATGCAGCTGCAATGGTAGTGGTCAACAATCATTGGTTAGGTTAACTTAAGCGCTAACTAGCATATTGGAATGAGAAATGATTTCTTTTGATGGATCTCAAGCGCTGACTATCCTAGTCTTGAAGAAAAGAAAGAAATCCTTCTATTAACCAAAACAGAATCTGTCTGACAAATAAAATGTTAAAGATCTTAGTTTTTTCAGTTACCAGGAAAACCAATCGTTGGGAACTCGGGTAGATTTCAGACCTTCTCGTGTGTGTGTGTGTGTGTGTGTGTGTGTGTGTGTGTGTGTGTGAACCAGATATTCACTCTACCAGGTTCTGGAATACAGGTATACTTACTGGCGCCTGACACTAGCTGTATTTCTCCGCATCATAGACCATTGCGCAATAATGCCAGGCCATACATCGATATTGTTTGACTTGAGACTGACTTACATTATCTTGTCGATAGCACTATGGGGTCGTACTTGATGAAACATTTGGTCCACGGCCAATAATTTTTGTGTCATTTTCTACCCTTTTCCCCTCACTCCCTGTTACTTGTTGTCGAATCAAAATACACGACAAATTAGCCCAAGTGATTGATTGCAAAAAATCAAAAAGTACTATAAAACAGAGCAAACCGATAAAGGGTTACTTTATTTCCATGATGGGCGGGGATACCGTCCAAAGTTCTGTAACCGAAAATGAATCGATCTTTATGGATCGTTTTTGTCTCACAACTTTCCCGTCTTTAGGATCTTTGAAGGAAGCCCTAAAGGCGTATGAGAAACAGACGTATACGCACTTCCTTGTGTAAGATTCATATTTGCAGGGTGACCGAAGAGCCTATGTCAAGTTTGTTTGCTTTAAGGCTAGCGGACTCCGGTCAATAGATGGTGTAGTGACAAGAAACTCAGTTCTGTTTGTTTTCAATATATATTTTATAGAATATCTCTGAAATGCTCTTGTCTGGCATTCGTGCTCGCCAAGTTTTTAGAAGGCTTCTGGACAGTAACTTGGTGGTTGTTAACTCACAATCTTCCCTGCAACTTTCTGCTTTACGACAATAGTTCTTGGACAAAGAAGTTGACGGGAGCTGAATTGGACAGCATGAAGCCATTGCTAATATTTAGCATGGCTGCATTTAATGTTGTTGATTTCTTTTATGCACACTATGGTGAACGACTTAATAATCAAGATGTTTGTCTAGGATTTTGTGAGGAATGCTTCCAAACTGATGCACCAACCTTCATTCCACATCCTGGCACATGAACAGCATACCGTTCTCATACAACGTCCCATATATTCTGCTCATGGAATCCACACCCAAGTAGCTTCTGTCTCGAGGGCCCTGCGTGTGGGAGTAGCCCTGACAGGAAGGTAATTCAACTGCAAATTAGAGGGACTTTCGCTAAAACATGTAATTTGCATCTTTATCCCCTATAGCTGTGTACACGTCAGATGAAGGCAAACTACAGCAGTAGTGAATGTATACCTCACAACGGGAAGGGAACGAAAAAAGGCCCTTCTCAGGGCCATCACAAATGTGATTTGAATGACTTCTTTCATTCTTTTTAGTAAAAATATTTCCTTGCAGGTGTGCGGAAAAAGACGTTTATTAATAAGCTGGAATTAATGGTCTTGTGACGATTATCAGCTGTTCGCGAACAATCATGTACTTCCATTGACTTCTGATATACTGACGGGAAACTGTTATTCGTGGTGGTTAAGTGTTTATTTAACTTAAAGCGTGGAGTCAGAGGAAGCTATTAACATCCAGACCATATTTATAACGAATGTACCAGAACGACAGTATTTCTCAATGTTCTGTTCACTTACGATTAGGACATCGTCTACATATCTTTTGAAAGGACTTAATTGAAAAAGTTTCGTTTCATAAAATATATGTGGATGATATTCTGAATCATAAGTGCTGATCTATGTTGTGCTACTTCACTTCGGAATCGAATGAACGTATCACGGAATAGCACATCTTTAACAAGTGTAGAAAAGAATGACAACTCCCTATCTTTGATGTATTGATCAGTCGACGGCAAGATAGATCAGTGACACGATCTATTTACAGAAATCCTACTTGGACTGGGCAAGATTTAAACTATTACAGTTTCTGTCCGTTCCAATACAAACGAGGTTTAGTTATGCGCTTATATAATGGAATTTAAGAAATTGGCACAGCTGATACGTTGGAAGAAGAGACAAGATTATTGACGGAGGCACTGATTGCAAACAACTACCCAACGAAGTTTTATAAGTCTACATAAAGTAAATCGAACTTTGGGAAATACTGTTGACTCTGTCCATAGGAAAGATGCTTTCATCAGGCAACCATGCATTAATGATGCTAATAGCTTGCTAGTCAAATAGAGACTTTACTCTGCCATATATCAA